CTATCTATCTATCTATCTATCTATCTAAAAAGCATATGAAAGTGCATGTTAGATGGTTGGTTCTGAAAGATGCTCTCGACCTTCGCAGCAGAGCTAACCAGGTGGACCATCGAACGTCCCTCATTCCCTCGTTCCCTCTGGGTTTTTAGGGGAGGCCTGACCAGGGTGTGGCCTGACCAGAAGTAGAACCTTCTCTTATTTTTCCATGTTGTTTGTGTTCTCTTCATGGCTGTTGGTGACCCACATGCTGCTATTGGCCTCGAAGGATGTCGTTGTCATTGTTTTCTCTGTGAGTGATGATAAAAGAGGAAAACCACAGCCTGCGTAGCAACAGCCCGTGGTGAGTTGTTGCCTTGAACAATACAGTTCTAAGAAGAATAAGCAGGACCTGGGATTTATGGTGCCAGCTCATATTCCCAGGAGGACGTGGGAGGACAGGGAAAAGGCCGCCCTGTTGGAGAGGGGGAGGAAGGAAGGAGGAGGATGAAACCTAGGCTTTGACTTAATAAGCAGAAGCCATGAGTATGTGAGTCCAACGCCGTGTGAAAGGAACCTGCCGAGTTTGATTGATGCCCCTGCAACAAGGACACAGTGAATTTATCACCCATGCGGTCGAGGGTCTGACCTCTGGGGAAACCCTTTTCAACTCAGTCCTTCAGACTCCCCCTTGAAATCTGAAGGACGTCGCTATGCATGAATCACTTCTGAGGTATCGGGAGGCCAGCCAAGGCCCCGATTCCCTGGTGTTAGTTTGGGGTTTGTTTATTCCCAACTATGCATGTGTCACACCCCTTGCCTCCAGAGCTCAGCAAACCCATAGCTGCCTTGTGCTGGGGACTCCTCAGCTTTCACACCTCACAGGGCCTCACCAGGGCAGCGTTTCTGTCTGTCCTCCTGGAGTCCTTCCAGGAGCATGAACTGAGGGTCCCTATTATTCCTATTTTTCTTAAAACAGGGGCAAGTTATTTAATTTCTTCAAGCGTCATCTTTCCCCATTCAAGCACAGCAGCCCCTTGCCTGGCTGGTGTGGCTCAGTGGTTGAGCGTCAACCTGTGATCCGGGAGTTCAAGGTTCAATTCCAGGTCAGGGCACATGGCCTAGGTTGTGGGTTCAATCGCTGGTGGGACCTGTAGGAGGCAGCTGATCAGGATTCTCTCTCATCATTAATGTTTCTCTCTCTCTTTTTCTCTCTCTCTCCCCCTCTCAAAATCAATAAAAATATTTTTTTAAAGACCTTACAAAACACAGCAGCCTCATCTTGCCTTTAAAATGCCAGTGTGCCTTATATTTGCTGCTTTAGTGTTTAAAAGTACTTTCTCATCCCTTCTTTCATTCAAACTTCAAGGCAGCCTCTCTCCTCTCCCCAAGTAGCATTATTCTCCTGACATCTCTGATAGCTAGGACTGTGGATGGCAGGTGCTCAGGGTGTTTGCTTTGGATACACAATCTTTAGAGAGATAACGTTACTGGCAAATATTAACTTTAGATATTTAGCTTCTATTTGATCATCTTCAAAGCTGTTCTCAGTGGGCAAACACACTTATCGCACGTGACATCACCAAGTTATTTCTAAGCTGCAATGACAGTGCGAAGTCAGTGATGTTCCATACCTTCTGACTGTGGCATGTAATAAACATATCGAGGAGTGATGTCATCATTTACAAGGCAGTGCACTTGCATGCCATGCTGTTACTGGCTGCCTTTGACAGCAGAATGGGAAGTGCTACGAGGAAGGAGCCTTGGTTTGAACCGCAGGTGGTCGGTTCTGCTGCTGGGAATGCTGGGATCAGAACATCTCCGGGTGATGGGCTGATGTGGGCGGAGGACAGTTCTTCCCTTTCGGCTTTGCTTTCACTTCGCATATTAATAACGTAACTTTGGAATCTTAGCTGTTTGTTGAATATTTCCCCTCAAATACTCTTGTGTCTGGAAGGACTTTATATAAATATATATAAATATATTTTATATAAATATATATAAAAATGTATATAAATCTATCTTTCTTGTTTTCTCTCAGTCTTCTTCTGTCATGTTAGATAGGCCCATGGTACCGCGGCAGGACTGTTCCAGGTAGTGCTGGGTGTTCATTCCCTTGATTTATTAAGATATAAGAGTCCCTTTTTAGGGCAGAGCAATGTATTTCACTATTGGAAAAGTTAAACATATATAGACAGGCAAAAAGAAGAAAATAAACAAAACGCTCCTCTCTCCATCCCATCTATCCACTCATGAACATCCTAGACAGCTTTCAAAATCCGAGTCTCCCCCGCTCACTGTGTGTGCATGTATGGTGCACTCAGGCACACATCCATGTATACTGTTTATATTTAATATATATTTCAGTTCTGCAAAATTTAGTAACAGCTGAATGAATATAGGACTCACATACCATAAATTCACATTTGAAGTGCATGACTCAGTGGTTTTCAGTATATTATTCACAGAGTGGTACAGCCATCCCCACTGTCTGAGCCAGCACATTTCCATCATTCCCGAAGGAAACCCCATCCCCCTTGGCAGTGACTCCCTGTGTCTGGCTTCCTCCCTAGAGAAACTCTTCAAGGCTCCTCGGTGGTGTAGACGGTATCAGAACTCCATTTATCTCGTGGCTGAGTGATGCTCCATTGCAGAGGTGTACCACAGTTCATTTGTCCATTCATCAGTTGGTGAACTCTGGGTTGTTCTCACTTGGGGGCTATTATGAATGCTGCTAGGAACATCCATGGGCAAGTACTTATGTGGCCATGGGTTTAACTCTCTTGAATATATATTTAGGATTGGAATTGCTGCGTCACATGGTAACGTTATATTTTAATTTTTGAGGAGCTGTTGAAGTGTTTTCCAAAGTGTCTGCAACATGTTCATTTCCACCAGCAACATATAAGGGTTCCAATTTCTCCACATCCTCGCCAACACTTATTATCTGTTTTTTAATTTAAAAAAAAATTATAGCCATCCTAAAATGGGTGTGAGGTGACATCTCACTGTGGTTTTGATTTGCGTTTCCCTGATGTCTAATGATGTCTTTCTATGTGCTTATTGGCCACTTTCACATATTCTTTGAAGAAACCCTATATAATAAAAGACAAATATGCTAAGTGTCCAGTCGTCTGGTTGTCTGTTCAACCAATCAAAGTGTAATATGCTAATGATATGCTAAGGCCACTCAACCACTCGCTATGACATGCACTGACCACCAGGGAGCAGATGCTCCTACTGATAGGTTAGCTTGCTGCTGCGGTCCAGCCCGTCAGGACTGAGCTAGACGGGCCAAACACACCCTGAAGCCCCCCCGCGGTCCCTCCCCGGCTGGCCAACCTCCCGTGTCCCTCTCCAGCCGCAATTGTGCACCAGTGGTGTCCCTCAGCCTGGCCTGTGCCCTCTCGCAATCTGGGACCCCTCGGGGGATGTCAGAGAGCTGGTTTTGGTCCTATCCTGCAGGCCAGGCTGAGGGACCTCACTGGTGCACGAATTTGTGTACCAGGCCTCTGGTGTCTATTAAAATCCCTTTTCCATCATTTAGTTAATTTTTGAAATGGTTGAGTTACAGAGTTCTTTATTCTGGATGAGTCTCTTATCAGAGTATGACTTGCAAATATTTTCTCCCATTCTTTGGGTTGTCGTTTCACCTTTTTTGATGGTGTTCTTTGAAACACGAAAGTTTTAAAATTTGATGAGATTCAATTTATTTTTTCTTTTGTTTTGTGTGCCTTCAATTTCATATGTAAGAAACCATTGCTTGTTTCACAGGCAGAAAGATTTACCTCCTACGTTTTTATCTAAGAGGTGCTAGTGATTACATTTAGGTCTTTAATACACTGTGGGTTCATTTCTGCATATGGTGTGACCTCGTAATATTTCACTATGTCATATACCACCATTTACTTAACGACCTCTTTATTAATGGGCATTAAGCTCTGGTAAGTACTTGCCATTAGAGCTTTGCAAACTTCCTGAATTATTTCCTGTATATAAATCTCTACAGTGGAATTGTTAGGGCAAAACCTATGCACATGGGAGCCATGGCCAAGCACTGCACACATCTGCTTCCTGGAAGGTGACAGGTTTTTCTCCTTCTGTGAAGCGTGTGACACTGCGTCCCCTGAATTCTCTTCAACTTGCAGCGTCATTTAAACACCTGTTTGCTTGTTCGAAAGGTGACAGATGAGTCTCATTGGTGCTTTGCTTGCATTTCAATTTTCAGGAAGCTCAAATGTTTTTTATGTGTTTCTTTTCTTTTTTTAAATTAAATTTGTTGGGGTGACATTGGCTTAAAACATTTGTTTTCTTTGACTTGTGTAAGGTGTCTTCCCACGAGTGCTCAGCTTTTCCTAATTGTTCGGTAAAAGCAGTTTATATATGAAAGTCACGAATCCTGTGTCTTTTAATGGAAATTTCCTCCTCCCTCGTTTATGGTGCATTTGTTCAGTTGTGGTTTCTGAGGTGCCCATGCTGCTCTCCAGGAGTCAATGCCTCCATCCTCACGGCTCCTCCTTGTGCTCGCTCCCTCCTTCTTCCTCGGCGCTTCTGTCCCTCATGGCCGACAGCGAGGACCCCTCTCCCTGCCCAGGGGCCTGCGCCCCAGACCGACCCTCGGCCCCAGGGCGCACCTGTGCCCAGGTCGGCGCACGGCTCCAGCGGCTCAGCAACAGCACAGTTCACCTGTAAAACTAGCAGATGGCGCATCTCAGGGTCCCTTTCCAGCCGGGCAAACAAAACCTCCACTCTTGGCTGTCTCTCTCTCTCCCTTTTTTATTTGCTTTTTAATATATTTTCATTGACTTCAGAGAGGAAGGGAGAGGGAGAGAGACATCAATGACGAGAGAGAATCATGGATCCTGCCTCCTGCGCGCCCCGCTCTGGGGATGGAGCCCACCCTGGCCTGTGCCCTGACCCTGACCTCCGGTTCGTAGGCGGCCGCTCAACCACTGGGCCGCTGGCGGGCCTGGCTGTCTCTCCAACGTGTTCTTTCTGCCGCTCAGAGTCCCCTTTGCTCCCAGACTCAGTGCGTGGCTGCGGCCCGGATGTCGGCGACCAGGAGGCTGCGGGCCCGGATGTCGGCGACCACGAGGCTGAGGGGCCCGGATGTCGGCGACCACGTGGCAGCGGGGCCCCGGATGTCGGCGACCAGGAGGCTGCGGGCCCGGATGTCTGCGACCACCAGGCTGCGGGCCCCGGATGTCGGCGACCACGTGGCAGCGGGGCCCCGGATGTCGGCGACCACGTGGCAGCGGGGCCCCGGATGTCGGCGACCACCTGGCAGCGGGGCCCCGGATGTCGGCGACCACGAGGCTGCGGGGCCCCTGGGTGTCGGCGACCACGTGGCTGCGGGGCCGTGGGTGTCGGTGACGACGTGTCTGAGAATCCACCGGACTCTGGGCAGCCGAGGCCGGTCTGGAGGCCCGACTCCCGTGAAGTGATTCTGCACGAGTGGCGCCTTCCTCCGCGGGGCACCCGAGTTCCCCCCGCCTCCTCCGTCCGAAGGTGCGGGGCTGGCGGGGCTGAGGCCGCGCGTGTCCCGGGCGAAGGCAGATCTGACTGCGCCGCCCGCCCGGAAAGTGGGAGCGGCCGGCTGAGCCGGAGCCGCCGGGAGCGGGCC